AACTAGACCAAGCCTTGGATGACGTTGATGTCGTCGAGATATAGTAGCCCTCTACGAAATGTAGACCTCCTGTCAAAAGTGATCGATTTCTTAAGGCTACTAATAAATAAAAGACCGATCACTATTCGTAAAAATCCGTTAGATCGCTGGATACGTCCAAGTGCAAAAACAATATATAGCATATTTTTTATTAAACTTGATTCATTTTTTAATCATAATGGTTGTTTCTAGAATCGCGCTTCATTCGTTTGTTGTACCTTAAATAAATTTGCTTGTATCTTTCTTTAATCATGCATAACCAAGATGAAGAATCTTGTGAATGGACACCGATGTTCTTGGATAAATGTATTTTTCGAAGTGGAACTTCCTTGTATCATTTCGCTGTGGGATATCAAAATTGATAGCGTTGAGGAGGGTATTTTGTTTGTCTATAACACTTCACAATTTAATCAATACATTTGTCGTCGCTGAAAAGAATGTCGATATGCTCTCAAAAAAATAAATCGGTGGATACGGGATGACAGACCAAAATATACAGAAGTATGTTATTACAGTGATATTTGATATAGCTTTAATGATCATAGATTAAGGTTTTTCTAGGTCGAGAATATGATGCACCTGAACAATTGGCGATTCGAGGCTAGAAGTCACCCTTAGGCAATAATTTAAGACGCCACCTCCAGAAACGAATAAACCAGCCGTATCTGATAATTGGTTGTGTCTCATCAAGCTCTATTCAGTGAGGTTGCTTTGGTCAAGTGTCGGTCTCTCTGCGGGGACAAAATGTCTCTTCTGAAGGCCGTGAACGTTTGCGTTTTGAAAGTATATATAACTTCTTACGCTTTCTCAAGCAAGGTGACGCACTGTGTAACGGGGGGGTACGTCTAACCCCGTTACATAGCGCGTTACCTTGCCTGAGAGAGCGTGAGACATTATACATACCCAGAGTGTAACGGAATTACACGTACCCTGGTATGAAAGGGTGGGTACCACAAGATGGTGTGACCGTACAAAT